GTGTGTGTGTGTGTGTGTGTGTGTGTGTGTGTGTGTGTGTGTGTGTGAATACACACAGAGATTAAAGAGATTAAATTCTTCCATCATGAGCCATGGTGGCTCAGTGGTTAGATTGCAGTCCTTCAGGCTACTTCTGCTGACTGCCAGCTGCCAGCAGTTCTGCGGTTCAAGTCTCATCGGCTCAGATTTCACTCGGACTTCCATCTTTCCAAGGTGGGTAAAATGAGGACCCAGATTGTTGGGGTCAACATGCTGACTCTGTAAACTGCTTAGAGAGGGCTATAGAGCACTGTGAAGTGGTATATAAGTCTAGTGCTATTACTATTGCTTTTTTTTTACTTTTCTTGCCCTTATGAAGCCATGCGCCTAGATGGGCAAAACAGAATTGTCAAGAATCTAATTTAGTTCTTCAGTGATAACATAGAAACCATAAACATTAGAATGATTTAAATATGTTTTGTTTGCTTGAGGGTTTTTTTTTTTTTTGCTGTACGTAATTGTTGAGGTTGGGAGGTGTGGGAGGTTGAGGATATAAATTTGTGCCAGTAGTATTATTAAGCTCAAAATACAAAAGGCAGTCTTCCATTGTTCAGCAGGAATTGAAGTCACCACCACATTTCATCTCTTTGGGAAATTTACTAATCAGTCAATTAAGTATTAATCATTCCTAATGTGGTTTTTATGTAATCATTTTACCTTGGAGTTGTGACTTCCTGTGTATTTAATCCTCGTGCTTCCATTCAACATAAGAATGCATTGTTCTGTTTTATCTTATCTCGTGTGGCTGACTGTGTGGTTTGGGCAGAAGGTACAGCAGTAGGAGAAGCAGACTTCACAGAAGCAAAGTGAAAACAAATTATCTCCCTGCAGTACGCACACCATACTATCTGGCTCTTAGGAGGAGCAGGCACCAAACACCACAGTTGTCCACTCCTCTTTCCATTTTTCATCAGCAGGCTCGCTCTGGTTTGGCTTCTCACATCAAGCTAGCCAACCCAGGTCTTGAAGGCAACCATGTGCATGATTTCAGGCCTGTTGGGCCCATCAGCATTGCCATGGTTACAAGGATATAGCAAGATTGCGGCAATACATCAGAATATCCAAATGAGGCTGATGCGGACTCAGAAAGCAAGAGCGGACGAATCAGCCACATCATTTGTTTAGTCCATCAGCCACCTACTGCATGTTTTTTCAACACCCTTTATAGCGGGGAAAGGGAAATGAGAGGTCCTTGGTGCTCTCTGAGCTTGGTTGTTTTTTGCAGATGTTTCCTTACCAAACTAAGTAACATTTTTAGTGCACTGAGACCTCATTTCAACCCTGAGCTACCAATGTTCTCTTTTATTGGTAGCACAAAAAGGGAATGCCTCACATTTGATCACCCTTTCTAGACCTTAGTAAATTATTTGAGGGAGAAATTTTCAACCTTATTTTGATTTGGAAAGGCTTCCCCCCACCCCTTAAAAAAATTATGTTCCTCCTTTATACCAATAATGCTATGAGTGTGCTTTGTACAAGGTTACTTGGTACAGGTAGACAGACTCCAACACATTAATCCACATCATGAAGATGTGCTTAATTGAGAAGAATTTCAGGATGAACTGTGACCTCCAATAAGAGGCTACATGCAACCTTAGAAACCTCCATCTGACTTATTCCTCAATGTACTATGGCACCTCCACTCTGCAAATGGAGCTTATTTTCCTTAGCAAACTTGCAAGTGTCACATATTTTTGTACCAATCTGAGATAATCCTTGAGCCTAGGCAAACAAACAAA